GCGCTGCTGTTTGTGATTGGCTCGTCTAGAACCTTTTGGAGCGACCATGGGCTTTCTCTGGAATGTGTCGAAGTTAGTTTAGATCTTTTTTAGGGTTGGAAATGTTGTACATCCATTGTTTCATTGTTATTTCAGACTTTCCATTAAAGTGGCACTTGTTGCTGGAGCAGTGAAGCTTTCTATTGATAATGACATTTGGTCTTTGAGTACTACAAGTGTGAGTTAGCTTTCTTTTTCATGTTTTGACTCTGATCACTTGAAGATCGCCATATACGACTTTTTAACCGAGTTACATGTTTCCCTTTAATGTCAGAAGCCACCAAGGATGTGTAGTTTTTGATGCGGGAACTCTGAATAAAATAGGTAAGTGGCCTAATAGGGACGTATGCTAAAGTGTATGGCGCTGAAGCGCGGCGATTGCTAACTTAAGTGATTCCTGATTCAGCTGAGCTTGACGTTAGTTATCGATGACAGTATTGAATTGCAGAAATGTTGGCAGTTTCTCCCATCATTTGTGTAAGATCTGGGACTGTTGTAGAAGGGGCATATTTATAACATGTAAACAAGCATTTGAAAACGGTGCTTAGTCTATGAAGGAAGCAGACTTTATTTTAAAAATTACTGTTAGCGTATCTCTTCTATTGTACATGTTTTTTTACAATACATGCTCGGTCAGAAGGTGCGACTCTGGCAAGCAGTTTGCATTATTTTGGAAACAATTAAGACCTGCACTTCATGCAGAAGCGCTGCTTCAGACTTGAAATGAAACTTTTGTTAAGAGAGTGTCGATTTGTATGTATGTGTGTCCGTCCGCAAAATGAAGTGAGTGATAAGGCAGCTAATGGGTTAAACAAGCCGCTAACAAATCTGGGTAGCTCGCAGGACTTGAGCTATCAATGTTTTGCAATGGCATGATTGTGATAACACCCAACGGCTAAACACCTACTAGCACACTCTCTGGTCATTCACATGGGCAGCTGGAGAGCAGTGGGTGGAGGAGAAGAAGATAAGGTGGGGAGGAGGATCGCAAAGCTTTCGCATTAAGGTAGATCCGGCGGTTGCCGGGGGACCTATCTGGTTAATAAATAAATGCACCATTATGATATGTCACCATTGAGGAAAAGTCGATACAGTGTTCCCAGAAGATCGGTGGTGCTGAGTTGAAAAGAGTCGAGGTAGATTACGAGGTTCTTTAGGTCGTATTCTATACATGGACGAGGGCAAAACACTCGTTTCGCCCACGACGCACTTTACCAAACATGAAGTCGATGACCAGATGATTGTAACAGATTGAATCCTTGTTTGGTATTTTACAAAGAAGTACTTCCATCATTTATTGGTACTGAAGCTTTCGTTCAACAAAATATGTTGTTTCTTGCAGTGGCGTAGGTGGAGAAAGGCGTCAGTTGTAACAATCCATACCATAATAATGGCAAAAGTATGGGTTATATGCGGAACCTGCGGCTAACAACGTGAAGACCTGTGAAAACTAACTTTTAATTGATGCAAAAAATTGAGAATGAATCCCTAAAAAGCTCACCAGTAGGACGACGAACCCTCCTGAACTCATTTTTCTTTTTTGTGCCCTGAAATGCAGTAATATGAAAAAAATCAGGACAACAACTTGCAGATGCTTGAAAGTGAAGGGACAAGCTGCTGAAATGTGGCGGCATCAGCACCGCTGGCTTTTAAAGGGAGAAATCGTAAAGTCAAGAATTCTGTTTGCCATGCAGCATAATGGATGCAATTGATATCAATGTTGCAATATGATAAGTCAGAATAAATAATTCATTAGCATAAAACGTTTTTCATCTATTCCGTGGCTCTGCTGGAATGTTATCAAAATGGGAAAGTATAGTTTTCCATGATAGGGGAAGATTCCATCTGGTGGGAAATAGACGAGGTAGTCTCTAACACAAAACAGAATTGGAGGTTCCAGAATTCCCATCTTATTCAAAATGGGTATGGCTTTCATCGAGCCGGAGTGTAATTGAAATTCGTACTGTACAGGAACAGAATTCGTGCGACGGAGCTTAGTTAGCATAAATCGCGAGCATAATAGCATAAAGCATAAGCTAAGCGCGCCGAACTCAAACCAGGCCGTGTCAATCCTCGGCCTGGTTCAGTTCAGGCGTGGCGGACTGCAGCTTCGAGACGGCTGATCCCATTGAGCCAGTCTCACCAGGAAGGTCTTTCAGGGCGTGACAAGCTTTTTGAAAACGGTCTTTTGCATGATATAGGGGCAGATGCGGGAACCACAGAACCATGTTCAATTTTTCCTGAACGGCCCTCTGAATACCAGAAAAGGAGGTCCCTAGTTCGATTCCTCGTGGTAACAAATTTTTGCATTTCGAGTTGACGTTCCAAAATTCGCGCAAAATGGTTCTGATTGTTCTGGTTGGTTCTAACTCCATTTTGCGCGAATTTTGGCACGTCAACTCGAAATGCAAAAATTTGTTACCACGAGGAATCGAACTAGGGACCTCCTTTTCTGGTATTCAGAGGGCCGTTCAGGAAAAATTAAACATGGTTCTGTGGTCCCCGCATCTGCCCCTATATCATGCAAAAGACCGTTTTCAAAAAGCTCGTCACGCCCTGAAAGACCTTCCTGGTTAGTCCATTGAACAGATAATGCGCGAATCGCATTTGGGTCGCTTTTAGTTGCGAATTTTATGGCTCCCCACTTCTTCAACCTTTGGGGCGCGGCCGCGGCGAGCGCGGACGAGTTGATAGTGCCCGCGAACTGTGCTGATGATGCGTTTTCAAATTTACCCACACAGTTCGCGGGCACTATCGACTCGTCCGCGCTCGCCGCGGCCGCGCCCCAAATCGTGAAGAAAGTGGGGGAGCCGAATTTTTAGCAAGTTTTTGCATAGTTTACTTCCAGGGCGCTAACTTATACCAGAAGCTCAAGCAGTATATCGTTCCAGGGACTATTGTGTTTCCAGAAAATGTGAGTTTTTTTCCTTTTGATAAATCTTCTATCCGTCAGTTTCCTATGTGTGGCAACAAAACGTTGTCCGTGCATGTTGGCCTCGTACTAAGCGCGCAAAGAGGGGCATTTCTTGGCAGTTGCAAGTCCAAGCCTACTGCAGCACATCAAATAGTTAGGATTTGTAAGTCATAAGTTGCTTTTGCTTCGTGGATTCGTTGATTTATACTCTTGCCCATTTGTTCTTTATTTTGTGTTTTGAAATTTTTCACAAACGCAGGTTTAATTTTCAATTCCTCTATTGTGCACATAGCGGTATTCTACCTAGCACTAATCAGGAAAGCTTTTAACTTCCTGGAGACCTAAGTGAATCAATCAAGAACACTTCTCACAAATATGAAGATCAGCACTGCTACGTGGATTCGAAGCGATTTGTGAGCATTTAGCTGGCAGTAAATGCAAATTTGGGGCGAGCAAATCTATCCGCCTCAGCGCTTTTAATTTTCACTGTTTTGCCTCTGAGGCTAAATAGGTCCCCTGATCACTAGTATGATACTTATTTTTGGCTCAGGGCCATGTGGCGCTAGTATGGCGCCACACTTACTTTATTGCTTCATTTCTTGCCAACTTTGACTGCTCATAACTTTTTTGAAAAGTGCACATAACAGTTTTGGTATCCATATTTGTAAGTAGTGTAGTACCTTGAACCTTATCCTCGGGTCTCCATTCTGCGCTCCATGGGAATTTGGAAGCCTTTCCTGCTAAGAAATGCGAATCAGGCTTGGATACAGTATTGTTCACTACAAATTCTTAGGGCTTTAGGCTGGTGTCAGAGTCCACGATCCGTCGCAGGTTTCGCTGATTTTAGCGATGCCAAGACTGCGCGACTCACGCGTATGCGCGAGGAACTCGAGCGGATGAAAAATCGCAAATCCATGCTGAACAATTCGACATCTGTGAAAATGAAACAAGTGGAATCATGAGCAGTTGTCATTCAGCCATCTCTATCAAGCAGAATTGGTGACAGATTGGAGAACACCTTGTAGTATTGATCGGGCACTTGTGATTTCCGTACCCGTCGCGTGAATCGCGTGAATCGCGTGAATCGCGCAAATCGCGAAAATCAGCGAAACCTGCGAAGGATCGCGGACTCTGACACCAGCCTTACTGCCAACTGATACGGCCGCATTTGCCGTTCTATGGGCCTGGGTCCTCGTAATCGCAAGCTATTTGCAGTTACCGTCAGTTGAAGAGGTTCAATCAGACGTTGGGCGAATTTGGAACAGTGGTGTTGATAAGGTAAGAGTTTCTCGTAGGTCTGGTATAATTTCGTGTGGTATCACGTGCGTGTATCAAGGTGCTGCCTTCCAACACATGCAGTCCGTTTATTATCTTTTTGCAAGTATTGTCAAGGCTTTTATTATCGTGTTAATTTTACCATTTTTAGGTGTTCACTGGAAGTTATGCCAGTTGAGAGCGCACCTAGCAGTCTCAATACTGTAGCGAATCGGTTGATCAACAACAAGTAAAGCCGAGCCAAGGCTCCATGTTCCTTACTGATTGTATTCTTGTATAGGTACTCGGTATAATGGTACAATACTAGGGAAATGATTAAATTTATCAGTTTGTTGACTGACTTCGAGCGATGTGTTGATGTGAAAGTTGTGTAGAATCGTATAGAGTAGACTTGTGAATGCTCAATCAATATGAAGCAATTATTGAATTTTTCACTTTCTCTGTAACAGTGGTAGACTCGCGCTATTGTAACGACGCACACAGGCTAGCGGCAGTCACTTAGTAGCCGAGTAGGGATGGCTATTGCTTGAGCAGTTGATAATTTTAGGAAATATACGTAAAGCATAAAAACAAAATAGTAAAGCTGTAAAATTCAACCGACTTCTCATTGTAAACACGGTACACAGCTAGTATTCAAAGGCTAGCAGCTTGATACTTTGTTCCTTAGAGGAGGATTCAGCGATAAAGAGGTTGAAGGAAGGGAAGCTCCCTATTTTGAGAGACGGGTGGATTAAGGGTGGGCGCGGCAGTCCGTCGAGGATCTCAGGGTCAGCGTTTCGAACCGTTTCACTGGTTGTTATATACCCCCCTCGCTCGACGGCTATTTTTGGGGAAAAGTGGGTGGAGTTTCGGAGTTTTAGGTAGGTTTTGGGCTGTGTCAACTGGTCTCAGAATCAAATACTATAGAAGAGGGAGAGGTCGCGGTGGAGGAAGGCTGGTTGTATTGGGGCGCTGTGTGTTGGGAGGGGTCGCAACTGGACCCTCTCGAGAGGGAGGGGGTCGCAAAAATCCCGAAAATGTTCGAACGTGA